ATGTTGAGCTTCAGACCACTTTTTGCAATCTCCTCTTTCACCCTCGGTGTCTTCATACAATTATGTCTTCATACAATTATGTAAAGTAAAGTAGAGAATCCCCAGTATGATATAGCGGCTTGAGTGTCGGACTAGATCTGGGAAAAGATCCAGGTTCCATTTCCCATGAAGGTAGCTGAATATGGAACAGTCTCCCAACTGGAACAGTCTTCCTCCGCTATGGAACAGTCTCCCAACAGAAATCCGTCGGGCAACCTTGCTGGGTGTTTTTAAAAGCCATTTAAAAACTTGGCTCTTTAGGCAGGCCTTCCCTCCAGTCAATAACTGATCTTTATTCTTTGCCTTTTAAATTATTTCATCTTGTCAATGATCTAAAATAAGTGTTAAAATTACAATGTTTTAAATGATTTTTATGATATTTGTTATATTATGATGTTTTATCATGTGTGTAAGCCGCCCCAAGTAGAGTTTGTCTAAGGGGGCGGGGTAAAAATCTAATAAAGTAAAAAAAAAGTAAGTAAGAATGATCTTGGTCCAGTCACACAGAGCCATTGTAAGGATAAAGGAAGGGGAGAACTTATTACAGTATAATCCTGTATGCATGGGGGATCATTTCCATGATATACTGTGAATTCCTGAAACTGCTGATAGGAGGGAACCCTGTATACAACATACAACGGGGTGCCCTTGTATATAGAACTGAGACAAAACATATAAAAAAGTCAAACCGCAGATACCTCAGCAATATCAATTACCTATTTTGCTTAGGGGGAAAAATCATAACTAGCTTCATGAAAACACATTGAGCATATTATGAGACAGTATGCATACAGATATTGGAACTGGAGTTGTTTCCCTATGCTATAAAGACCTTGTTTTATATAGATTGGCTCCAGAAACATAGTGTATGTTGGTACAGTTCCATCTCAGAGAAGATGGAGTTTGTTCATAAGATGGTTCCTTTCACAAAATGGCTGGAGATTGCTTTCAGTTTTCCAACAAGTGGGCCAGCAATCGGAAAACCAATAAGAGAGAGGAAGAGAGAGGGCAAACTTTTCTCATGGCTCTCTCAGGTCACTGTGTATGATTCACCTATCAAGCAGATGAATAATATCATTCCTGTTTTGTGGTGTGGGTTATTTCAGGTCAAAACAGAAGCTACTTCCTGAGTTTCATAGCAGGAGTGGCAGATGAACCACAGAATTCCTGGCCTGTGGCTCATTCTTTTAGCCATGCTATGCAATACTGTCTCTGTGAAGTAACTACGAGGTGTTGCACATATCATTTGTGTGCAAAGGAGAAGGCACTGTGGAGAGGTTCAGAGGCTTCAATTGTTTTTTCATACATAACAGGCCTCAGCCCTAGGACTGAATAAATGAATGAAATCTGCCTTGAATGAAATCCTGCTTTAAATGACAGTTCAGTAGTGGCTTCTTCAGGAGACTAAAGTCTTTTTTGGTTGTGAGGCATTTTTGTCTTCCTTGCTCTGGCATCTACTCTTTTAAACAATCAGTTTTGCCCACAGACTGGAGGCATTTTTTACTTAGGTTTTTTTTTTTAATGCGTGCAGCTTAATTGACTTGAAATGAGAATGTAAGTGGAGGTCAGATAAAAGACCTTTCCTTTAAAAATAGCTCTCTTACATGTGCTATTCTGTGTTAACATCATTTTCCTTTGGCACAGATAACCCGAGAACTGAAATAGATGTGACAGGGGAGACCTACAACCAGAAAACCAGCATTTTAGAGATTTTAGGGTTTTGTTGGTTGGTTGTTTTTTTGTTTTGGCTTTAGAGCAGATGGAGAAAATCTGATTTTGATTTTAAGCAGCAGTGTGTCTCTTTGTCTCTTTAACCCTTCTGCTGGTGTTCCTTGTGCCACACTTCTGATCCAGCCTTCCCTGATCTTTTGCCTTGGATTTAACTCCCATCATCTCTGCATATTCTGGCTGGGGTTGACAGAATCTGGAATGGGTTGGGAAACATTGCTTCTAATGGGCAGAGTCCATGAAAACTGTTTTCGGTTTCACTGGAGAAAACTACTGAAACGATACTCCGAAGCTTCCCATTAGTTTCTATGGACGGAAAAGAGCAGATACGGATCAAATGGTTTTCAGTGCATTCCTATGGGAAATGCAGATTTGACCTGAGAACTTTTTGACTTGAGAACCGCCTTCCAATACGGATTAAGTTCTCAAGTCAAGACCCCACTGTACTGGCTGGGGTTGACAGAATCTAGAATGGGTTGGGAAACATTGCTTCTAATGGGCAGAGTCCTTGAAAACTGTTTTCGGTTTCACTGGAGAAAACTACTGAAACGATACTCCGATGTATATTTTCCTCTCACTTGGGGACTAACAGGAGCTTTGGAGAAGTATTGTTTAACCACGGAAACAGCATGGCAGAATAATCATCTTAGAACTGCAGAGCTCGAAAGGACCCTATGGATCATTAAGTCCAACCCCTCTCAGAGAGACACAGGAGGGAAACAAACTCCAAACCTCTGGCCCTGCACCCAAATATCTAAACTACTGACCAATCCTCCTCTTCTGAGCACAACTACCAAGTCTGGATCCTCTAAAAATCTGGAATATTTTTAAGGGCTGCCCTGTTATTGATAATTTCCTGTTAGTTAGTACACATGCGGGTCCATCTGGCTCAGCCCTCTTGCTGAATATTTGCCTAAGGGGTTTAGGAAATAGTTTTAACGGGTATTTCAGAATTTCTTGCCCAAAGCCTAAAATTTAGCGAATAGCGATGGAAAGTCTTAAAGTTGCAACTACTGGTTTTGCAGAGGAATCGACTTTTCCGTGCATTTGCCCCCTTTCCCTACCATAGCTGTCCTCCAGCCCCTTTACGGTGCTTCCCCCAATTAATTTTATTTTAATGTGGGAAATGGCCAATCACACTCTCAGGGAGGGGTGATTGGCCATTTCACCAGCATCCCAGTTTAGGCCAAGGGAGGCCTTTTTCTTCTCATGACAGGATGTGACTAGATGGTTCTGCAAGTGTATGATTGGGCATCTGGGGTATGTGTGTAGAAGTGTTAGGGATTTGGGGGGGGGCACAGAGAGGGTCCCAGGAGCCACACTTTCCTCACCTATTTTTTATGGGAGTCTCAGTTCAGTAAAAAAATTGTCCTTTCTTTTACAGTATATTGATTTTATCTATCTGTACTAAATTTTCAGCAGTCTAGAAAGCAAAGCAGAAATTTTTGGGGAGCTGAACCCAGTTTGTTTTGTGCCCTAAACTTGCATTTCAAAAGATATGGCTAATTGTTAGAAGGCAGTTCTAACAAGGAACTTAATTTTGGGATGTATGTAAAGACAAAGCATCAAATGTATTCTTGTTTAGGCTGCTTGTTAGCATGTTGAATGTATCAGGTGCTTTAGGGGGCATTGTTGAGCTATATATGCCATGAATTCTCCCTTCTGTGTTGTGTGGAATCGGACCTGGACACGCTACAATAGGAAAAAAAATAGACACATCTAAAATGTCAATTTCTCTCAGGATGCTAAGAATTTCTTGGATTGAGAATATGACCAATGAAGAAATAGCAAAGTAAATGAATAACGAGCAAGAAAT